GGGCAGTGTCATTCCTGGGTTGTGGTGTCTCCAATGTTGGTTGATATCCCTTTTGCTTGATTGGTTGAAGGGAGTAGGAGCAGCTCTGGCATGTGTGTCCCAACCTTCCGCAGGCTTTGGATAGGATATCATCTCCTTCATATAGGATAGGTTGCTTATTGTGGCCAATCATTATGAAATTTTGCAGTGGTTGCTCCAATGGTGATTCCACACAAAGCCTTGCATATCTTCCTCTTAGTGTGGCTGATGTGCATGCATCCACTTTAAGTAATTTGCCAATGCAATTCCCAATTTTTGTTAGAATAATTTCATCGCAAAATTCCGTGAGAAGTTGTGACAATCGTACCCATACTGCTGTGTAGCTTTGATGTGCTTCTTTAGCTACAAAATTGGGCACCCATTTTTGTACTGAAAGGAAAAAACCATTGATAAACCAAGGTCCATTTTGTAGTATCTTTGTCATGATTTCCTCCTTAGCCTACTTAACCGTATAGTAATCTTCTCCGAGATCAATTAGTGAAAAGTTTTCAATTATCTTCCATATGTCCTGTATTTTCTTTTTCAGATAGTGATGCATTAGGCGCTTACCATGAGTTTTATAATGACGGAATATTTTCAAGGGTTGTACATACATTTCCTTTCGTCATCAGATAGGATTATTTGTTTCATGTTGTGGGACAACTCCTTTGGATTAATGGCTTCCGATTCTGATGATTGAATGTCCATTGAAATTGTTGAGATCCCTTCCACTATTTGTGTGGTGTTAATGAAGAATTCATCTTGAAGCAGTTTATCTTTGTAAGATAGTGTATTTAGGGGTTTGTACGTTGATTATATCAGGGGGTTTGGGAGGAATTGAATTTTGGTTTCCTGATTGTTGTTTCAGTGAGAGGTCATGTCACGACCCGGATTTCCCACCCTCGGGGGTCATGATAGCGCCTACTCGTAGAAGCTAGGCTAGTCACAAAATGTAGAAATCTTAATTCATTCATTTTAATCCTCTTTAACAACTTAAAATATACAGGTGATCAACATTAAAATAATTGCGGAAGATGCAATCAAGCGGAAGACCTAGTCAAATTAAATACTAAAATCAGTACAGAACTGCTAATATATGCCTCTACCCAGAAACCGGTGGCACAATAAACACGAACTGTCTATGAGTGCTACATTAAATGTCTGAAAAAGGAAATACAGTCTGTCTCGGAAACAAGTGAAATAGAACATAATCATACATAGAAGAGAGCGCCGGGCCTGCGGACGCCTGCAGGACTACCTCGGGCTCTCTGACTGGACTGAAGGCTGGCTCCCCGAGTGCTACTGCCCAAATGCTGATCCGGTATCTGCACATAGCGCAGAGTGTAGTATCAGCACAACCGACCCCATGTGCTGGTAAGTGTCTGGCCTAACCCCGGCAAGGTAGTGACGAGACTAGGACCGGACTCCAGATAAACCTGTGCAGTTGTATAATATACAACGAAAATAGCAGGAATAAACAGTTTAAATGGGAGGGGGTACATGCTACGAGGAAAAATGTCAAATCTAGCATGAAATAAAAGAGAGATGAGAGAACAACTCAGAATCTACAACAAAACAATAATAATACTGTTGCGGCACGCAACCCGATCCAATATAACATTGTTGCGGCATGCGACCGATCGATATTTAGTATTGTTGCGGCGTGCAACCTGATCCATATTTAATATTGTTGCGGCGTGCAACCCAATCCATATATAGTATTGTTGCGGCGTGCAACCCGATCCATATATAGTATTGTTGCGGCGTGCAACCCGATCCATATTTTCATATACCTTTAGCAACAACCATACCAAGAGTCCCGACAAGGGATCAACAATAAACTACACTATCCCGGCAAGGGATCAACAATAAACTACCCTATCCCGGCAAGGGATCAACAATAAAAGTAAATACGTCCCGGCAAGGGAGAATCAGCTATAACCAATCTTAACTCAACCTCTATTCATCTCAGCTAACATCAATATTCAAATCATAAGTAATTCCCACGAGAACAAATTTAATCCTTGCTCAATATCGAGAATCATCAATTAAAGCATCCGTAGTATCATATAAGAACACAACAATATCAATTTAAGACTCACGTTCATGCTCGACATCAACGTATAGATACCCGTCACCATGCCTATACGTCATACTCAACAAGAAGCAATTAGCAAATAGGACTCAACTCCTAATCCTCAAGCTAAGGTTAGACCGAACACTTACCTCGAACTTCCACGGCCAACTCAATCCTCAAACACCGCCTTTCCTTTCGAATTCGGCTCCAAAACAATTGTATCTATACATAATCGACTTAATAACATCAATAAACGCCCAACAATCCAATTCCAATGCTCAATTATAACTTTCCAATCATTCTTTCCAAAAATCCAAAAATTGACCCCGGGCCCGCTTGGTCAAAACACGAGGTTTGGACCAAAACCCGATCACCCATTCACCCACGGGCCCGAATATATAATTTATTTTGAAATCCGACCCCAAAACGAGGTCAAATTACCAAATAATCAAAAAGCCCTAACTTTGCCAAATTCCCCAATTTTCTACCATTAAAACCCTAGGATTATTGATAAAAGTTGATGAAAAACATTAGATAGTTGAAAGAAATCAGTTAATGAATACTTACTTGTGATCTGGGAAGAAAATCTCTTGAGAAAATCGCCCTACTTCTTCTATTTTTTGTGAAAGTTTTAAAGAAAATTTGCTGAAGTTACGTTTTAAAAGAATCACTGCCCAACTTCCGCATCTGCGGTGCATGGGTCGCACCTGCGAGACCGCACGTGCGGATGATCGATCGCTTCTGCGAATATGACTAGGCCCCGCTGGGGCCGCATCTGCGAGAAAGGGACCCGCTCCTGCGGAACCGCATCTGCGAGACTCGACCGCACCTACGATCCACTGTGCGCACCTGCGAGTCCGCATCTGCGGCCAAAGAACGCAGGTGCGGTTACACCAGAACTGGTGCAACAGCAGTGTTTTCCTAAGTTTAAACACCCCGGAACCTACCCGAAACTCACCCGAGCCCTCGGGGCTCCAAACCAAACATGCGTACTAACTCAAAAACATCATATGAACTTATCCGTGCGATCAAATCGCCAAAATAACATCATAACCATCGAATTAAACCTCAAAATCAATGAAATATTTCAAAACTTCTTAAAACATCAAATTTTGCAATTAAGGCTCGAATCACGTCAAACGGATTCCGTTTCTTACCAAACTTCACAGAAGGCCGAATACATACGGAGACACCTAAAGTTGGCACCATTTTTCATTTAGACACTTAAACTCGGGTTAATACCTATTGAACACCTAAAGTCCTTTAAAAGCGTACCAGTTAGACACATTTAGCTGACATGGCAAAATGTGTGTTTTTCACTCTCTTTGAGCGCGTCCACTACTAAAAAAAATTAATTTTTTTTCCTGTCGCTTTCTCTTGTTTTTTTCCCTTTACTCTGGTTTTCCTTGAAAAGGACTACCTTGCCGGAAACTTTCACGGTCGGTGGCAAGCCCACATCTTCTCCACCAGAAGATCACCACCAAGAAGTTAACTTCCGAAAAATTTCATTTGGATTCTCCAATCTCCACCCAGTTTCAACAACATCAAAATCAACTGCAATTTTTGTTGTATGATAATAGAAATGCTTGTTTAAACCGGTAAATCAGAAAATTTTGGGTGAGATTTTTAATGTAATAGTAGAATAAGCAGAAACTTAGTGGAAAGTCAGGACAACTAAGTTGGCAAGCATCGCTAGTGGGTGCAATCGAAGGGCCTTACCAGATTTGTTTTTCTCTATTAATGGCGAAGCTTCACCGGATTTATTTTTCTCCATTAATGGAGTTTCCTTCTGGGTCATATGTGATTGTACAAAATCTTTTCTATATTTCTGTTCAAGAATCTCATTTTAACACTGGAGGCAACTGATTTTTAAGGAATTTAAGAAAAATTAACAGGAAAATCGAAAGAAAATATCGGGAGAGAGAAAAGAGATTTGGTTGGAGGGGGGGGGGGGGTTCGAGGAAGACGACTTTTTGTTATTCTCTTTCCTCCTACTTCTCTTTTCCTTATTATTTGGAATAAAAAAATTCACACGTCATTGTCTCATTGGTTGTTTTGCTAGGTCGGCCGCGTGTAAAATGCACGCGTTTCATATTTTGGATGTGTCAGCTAAATGTGTCTAATTGGTAAACTTTTAAAGTACTTTAGGTGTTCAATAGGTATTAGCCCGAGTTTAAATGTCTAAATGAAAAATAGTGCCAATTTTAGGTGTCTCCGTATGTATTTCGCCTTCACAGAATTATCTTAAATCATATATAAGACCTGTTTCGGGCGCCGGAACCAAAATACGGGCCCGATACCAACATGTTCTAATCAAATTTTATTTCCAAATTCCTTAAACAATTTCAGAAAATAATTTTCTTTAAAAATTCATTTCTCGGGCTTGGGACCTCGGAATTCGATTCCGGGCATACGCCCAAGTCCCATATTTTCCTATGGACCCTCCGGGACTGTCACATCACGGGTCCGGGTCCGTTTACCCAAAACGTTGATCGAAGTCAAATTAATTCATTTTATAGTCAAAATTTATCATTTTTCACAGATTTTCTCATTTAAGCTTTCCGGCTACACGCCCGGACTGCGCACGCAAATCGAGGTGAAGATAAAAGAGGATTTTAAGACCTCGGAATACAGAATTCAATTTAAAAGCAAGTGAATGACCTTTTGGGTCATCACATGTCACGCATTCTCTCTTAATTTTGGTCAACTGAATCCATCTTTATTAACTAGGTAGATATTTTATGTTTAAAGTTTGAAAGCGGTAGAAGAGACTTATCAACTTTATAATCTCACACTAATGTTAGTTGTTAGGAAGTTTATGTATTTTGAATACAAAAGAAGGTTAAAAATAAAATAATTGCAGGAAAAAAGAAAAAAACCGTCACACATTTTTTTTTGGGTCCTATTATCGTTTCGGTTAACTCTTTAACAGCAAGTAATGCTTTATCCCAAGTAAAATATTCAGTGGCCATTACAATGGCCTCAAACATGCTTCAACTGTCACTCCCACAAGGTGGTTCCTCTTCATCATCACTACCATTGTTACCCTCCTCCATTTATGTCTCACCCTTCACTCATCAACGCCGCCATTTTTCTCTCTTTAATGTTCAAAAATTTCGGTTTCGGTTAAGCAGAAGCACTTCTTTGGGACCTCTTTTTGTGAATAAAGAAGAAGACAGTGCAACTTATACTGTCACAGAAGAAGAAGATGATGATGATGATGATGATGCTGACCCAGATCCTCAATCCCTTGAATACGTTTCTCAAATTAAAAGAGTATAAACTTTTTTGCTTAATTTACCCAATTCTCTTGTTATACATGTGGTTTGTTTGTTCAAAATTGTATCTTTTGTAGGTTTTGGAGCTTCTCAAGAGGAATCGGGATATGCTCTTCGGTGAGGTGTGGCTTTATTTTCCTTAACCGCTTATGATTTTTTCTTTTAATTTTGGTGCATTTGGTATGTATTGTAATGTTTTTTTGCAAATAACAATTTTTTGCATCATTTTTGAATGTTTGGTTTGGTAGAAAGGTTTGTGCAAAATGTGGGATAAGGTTTGAGGATAACGTTTTGGGCAATAGATTTTTGTGTTTTAAAAGGTAGCAATAATGCCAAAGTATTGATTGAAGAAAGTTATATGAATTTACGGATGATATATTATGTATAAAAGGAGAATGACTACATTTCTTTATGTTACTTGTACCAGTAACCGGGTTATGGCCGATAACCTCTACTACTTCACCAACAACTGTCCCTTGACCAACTCCACATCTAATAGAAGCAAGCCCTCAGTTAGAATGGAATTCCATCTCAGATTGCGCTTATTCTGGAACATTCCTCACGCTGCCCGAGACTTCAGCCCATAAGTGAAGAAAGTCATTTTTCCCATTAATGAAAAATATTTTCCTTGAAAGAATGATTTTATATTGTTCATGGTGAACATTTTTCGTTGACCTCCATACATGCCCTTTGAATTTTCGACTTGTTTAAGCTCTCAGTTTATTTTGAAAGATCACTTATTTTCTTAAACTCACCACATGTACTAAGTTTGGAATGCCTTTTGCACATTGAATTGTCTCTTTAGTTAATGGTATATGAAAGATGTTGATCTCCTTTTTTTAGTACCACATCAATTGACTTAGCTTGGATTGAAGCTTAGTTACATTAGGTCCGGGCGTCCACGCAGGAGTAAGTGTGAGATTTAGGGAACTGTAGTTTTGAGGAATCTTAACTTGCCCTTAAAGATAAATAATTTAGTATTGAAATGAAACGGATCTGCATAGCTAGCTCTACGGGTAATTCAAATGTCAATTGTGTCTCGATTGACCTATTCTCTTGGGTTTATTACAGGTTAAGTTGACTATAATGATTGAAGACCCCAGGGACGTTGAGAGGAGGCGGCTGCTTGGCATTGACGATGAAAATGCTCCAACAAGGGATGACTTAGCTGCTGCTTTAGAAGAAGTAAGTCTGCTCTACAAATGCCTCAGATTAATGCTGACCAAATTATATGGCCTTTTGGAACCATGACTGTATTTCTGCTCCTGAACTATATTTCTGGTTGCTGCTTAAAAAGTTGTGATCTGGTCCTGAAAGTGTGACCTGGAATTATGACAGCATATTTGTTGCTACAATATGGTTATCTCTTAAAAAGAGAAATATAGGACATCTAATAAGTATAGATCATTTGGTTGAGATTGAGGCATAACTGATAAATTGATAAATAACAAGAGTAGAACATTTTGAATGTGAAGTGTTTAATCTGATGCAGTTGCAAAGGGAAGTTCTAAGCAAATGAAAAAGTTCCGGACCTTTTAATGGAGGAATCTAATAAAGTAGATCACAAGATAGAAGTCAGCTAGGTAATAGTGCAACATAATGTTTTAGAAGGATTTACAGTGTAATATATTGGAGTTGATGGAGAAGAGTTTTTCGACCCTCTGATACGTGCAGTAGGATATTAAACGTATAAGAGTTCTAGAGATGTTTTTGTAGTTTTTCTCTTGCCAACTAAGAGCTGCTTGGTAAGAAAAAGAATACAGTTGTTCTTTCGTTTTGTTTTCAAAATTTTAAGTTTTCAGGAAGCACTTTCAAAGCAGGACTTGATATTAAAAGAACGAAAACTGATGTTAACACTTGTTATAGGAAATATTATTTTACAAGCTTCAATTGTGCACTGAAATAGGTGGATATTTGAATCACGTTGATTACAGAAATTGCTCAACTGAACGAGAGGTTCTCACTGAAGAAGCAATACCACAATTTCTCCTTCTTCTGTCACTGCTTCGTATTACTCCCTTCATTTTCTCATTCTTTCCTTCATCTTTTTTCTTCCTTCAACAGCATTTCCCCCCTTCTTTCCACTTCCCTTTTTGTGTTTTTCCAGTTTGACTAAGAATGTTTTCCACCAAAAGACAAGTTATATGGAGAACAGTTCATTATGAACTGCTGAAACCGTCCTTTCTGCATTAAGGACCTTGTATAATCAATAGGTTTTGTAAGCAAAAAGAATCTCAACATCTTTTCATCAAGTGTTGCAGAGCAAGTGGAAATATTTCCTTTGTAAGTGTTTTCCAATAAAGGTATCAAGTAACTCTACCCCTCAGGTTTTGGGTTAGATTCTCATATTTCTTTCAAATTCAATAACATCTTATAACATATCTAAGCAATCTCTGTCAGAATGCATGTCAATCATGTTATTAGTTCTTGTGATGTGGGAAATCCACAAGCCTCTCAGAGGTAACTTTTGAGGAATAATACAGCAGAAAGGAAAGGAATACTTCGAAAGGGGGAACATAGTTAGGAAAAGGAAAAGATAAGATGTAAGATCATACCACTCCTTAAGTATCATGCTATATGGGAGACAAGAGTAAGAGGAAGGGGTCCTCCACTTCTAACCACGATTTTGGAGATTCGAGTCACAAGGGGAAAAAGAGTGGAAAATTTCCACTGTTGGTCCCTGCGGTGTGGTTTGAGATTAGTGCTACTATATCAGAAATGGAAGTGTCATACTATATGGTAAAAGTTAGGAAAAAGAGTAGCTAGGGAAGATTCTGCATTACTTGAAATATAATAAACTTTTGTGATGTTAACTCTAAACTTAATTCTATTCTTTATAAGATCCTTCAAACCAACTATGCAACCAACCCTTTAGTATCTGCCAAACCATGATGAAGACGAATGAAACTAACACTACAACAACCAATGCATCAAGCCCAAGTTAGTTGGGGCCAGCTATATGAATCTTCACTATTTATAGCGGTCCCAGAAGTACCTAATGTTGTTTAAGAGTCATCATAAATTGACTAGCTTTACACTGGGTATCAACTTACCACTACTTTCCACTAGTTTAGTTTGGGATCGGCAACATGAGCAAGTTTAGACAGGCCAACTTAAAAGGAAACTCACACTCTTCCTAGGAAATTATATGCAAGATCTTTGGGAGTTACCACAATGTCATTCAGATTAAAGTTTCATGAAGCATAGAAGTTGTAGTCAGAGCAACTAATTCCGCAAAATTCTACTGATATTATTGGAGTAGTTGATCAAATTCACAACTACATCATAGTACGAGAGGAATATTCTTGTAGAATGTATGTGGATTTCTATGTAAACCCCAGTGACAATAAAGTGAACTACACATGTATGTGGCATTAACAATGATGCGAAAGGAGATTGGAATAAATTATAGCAGGGAAAAGCGTTAGTTGTCAAGGGGTTGCTTTGAATTATGAAGGGCTTCATTTTATACTATTTGGAAAATTTATATTTCGACATCTGTTATTGGTCTTGCACTCACATTACATTATGTTTACTTGATGGTCTATAGGTCTATACTCCCTTTGGATTTTTTCTGATATATTACAAGAAAATGTCTCTCTCTCTATGTGCTTGGTAGGGATAACTGCTATATGTCTATAACACAATTTCCTACTCCTAAATGTATCTAAGCTTTAGGAAAAGATTGATCGTTCATATATCTCTAGAAACAATTTGTCCTAAAATCTGTAGCATCGATTGTGATAACTCTCAGAATAATGTTTGAAGTGTAGGAGAACATTCTTTTTACTTTTGGTATTACTCTACAACATCCATATGTATAGAGAACATTCTTTTACTTATAACTCAACTGACACTGTTGTGTTACATAATTTACTTCCATGAAATTTCTTTTATAATTTAAGCACTAAACTGAAGTTGTATGGAAATCCATGCTAAGCTTTCCCTTTTTAAAAAATTTGTATTTGTGTACCATACTAACCTCTTGGTACTTTATTAATATTAATTTTATCTTACTATATCCAAAAAAAGCTGATTGAACGGAACTTTTTGTTGTAAGCAAGTGGATCTTTGTAACAATGTGATAGTGGATTTAAACTAGCAGTTTGGAGAATAAATGAACCTAAAATAGGCAGTGAGTCATAAATATAAGTTATCAGAAAATTTATCGATGTTCACAAGGAAGATAACTATTATATTAACTATGCCTTCCACCCCATTTTATGTGGTACAATTTGACTAGCTCTCGAGAGTGAATGAGTTAATGTGACTTAAATATTTTATTACTAAAAGAAAGCACTTAACTTCTCATTGAAATGTGTATCAAGTTTTTTCAGTATGGAAAATCTCACATCATCATCTGAGTGTGAATTTTGAAATGTGTGAATTGTATTTCAAACATGTTATTTGCAGAACTGTGTCGAAGATTTCATGACCTCTTGAAAAGGAAATGTGCCATAAAATGAGACAGTGGAATAGCAAAAAATTTAGAAGCTCTTTTTTTCTTGCTTTGTCCACCTTAATAGATTCTCAATGAGTTTTATATGTATAGCTATAGATCAGGCTGTTTCTATTTGAATGCAAAAGAAGAATCTTTTTTTGGACCAAACTACTATCTATTGAATTTCTAAAGTTCCTTGATCAGCAACCAGTTGATGGATAAAGGCTTTGGTTGTCTTTAGAGTGCTTATTAACGTTGCAGTCTATGATTCTAAGTATATATATCCCAAGGCCTTGCTAAATTCTTTATTTTTTTATTTTTTTTTTTGGTTTCAGATTAATGAAGGAAAAGTACCAAAAGATTTTGCTGCTCTGCAGATGCTGGCAGAAGAGATGAATTCATGGCCTAATTTGGAGGTACTACTGTGACTTCAAACATTCTTCTTGGCATAATTTTACAATTAAACATGATGATAAATGCTCATAATCCAGTTCCGATTTTGTGATAGGGCTAGCGTTTCTGCATAGGGGGGCAGAAAACTCTTTTTTTTATTGGGGAGGGGGTGGGGAAGGCCGGTGAGGGAGAAACTAATTGCTCTAATAAGGTTACTCGATTGTGTTATCCCATAGCTTGATTGGACCAACAAATGCATGACTAGGGTTTATTATGACTCAAATTCATCAGTAAATGTTTTGGTATTTTAACTTTATTTTATTCAACTGCATTAAATAATAGGTTGACAATCACAATATCTACTTCATGAAGCACATACATGCAAGGTATAGATCATTCTAATATAGTATGTTGGTTCACGACGCCAGAATCAGATAGACTTACTTAATATTGTGGGTGAAAGGTGGTGAGGGATAGCAATAGTGTAACTCAAGACTGTCAAAGATTGAGAAGTATCCAATCCAGACCATGGATAAAATATGTTCTTGCTTAGCATTTTAAATTCATAGAATATCAAAAAGTTACTCCTTTTCTTATATCTAGACTCTTTTTTATTAGAGTTAGCTAAAGGTAAATGAGATTACATCTGATAAGAAGTTTAATGTTTTTTTTCCTCTTAAGAGGGATGTCAACTTCTTGGGGAGAGAAATCTCAAATTCTTGATAAATTTGACCCGATAGTCAAGTTTTTTCCTAATTAAAGTTATCCTAACAGGCAATGTAGGTTTGTTAGTGATACTTTATCCCTATTAAAGACAAATTCTAAGCCATCTAGTCCATAGTGTTGAATTTAACATTTCACGCCCAAAGTCGGTTATATCAAAGGAAAAATTTAATTGCATTTGAATTTTTGTAACAATGATGTATTGGTTGAATAGTTTCTCCTCAACTTTAGATTTCAGGATAGTTTTATATCTTTCTCAAACCATTTGCTGCAACTTTTCTAAAAAGTAGTGGAATACATTTTCTTTGTTTTTTTCTTTCTTTTAGAAATTTCAGACACCAGTACTATTTTTTTTCATGTATTAAGCTTTTACTTTATCTGGAGAATTCCATTTGCAGGTAATATTGATTTCTTTTTCATTTCTTGAAATCGGATGAGACTCCTTGATTTACATCCTCTGGAAAAGCGATGTCTTTGTAGTGTCACCAATTTCATCATTTAGCCAATTAGTAGTTTTATTCTATTCTTGTTGGATTTAGGTTGAAGCTACAAAGCAAAATAAGCCTGGCAGATCCCTGTATGCAAAAGCCACAGACACTGGTATCGATCCAAAAGAGGCTGCTAAGCGGCTCAAGATTGACTGGGATTCAGCAGCTGAGATTGACGAGTCAGCTGAGAGTGATGAGCCGGATGTTCCTCCAGCTTTGGTTAGTTGACGAAATAATTCTTAGACATTTTCTCTGGTTATCCCTTTTGTTATGATTGTTCATTACTGTTTCCGGTAATTAGCTTACAATATGTGGAATATGTTAAATGGACCAATCTGACATGTTATTGTTGGAACATGTCAAAACTAATATGTCCACTTCTTTTAACGAGTTTTGAAGTCATGGCTAAATCCTAAGTTGCTCGGACTCGGGTGCGGTTATCCATAGGGGTGCAGATCTAGAGGTCGGATCCTTCATATCTAAATTTTAAGATTTGGAGTACGGATCTAGGTACAGATACGAGTGGTTGGATTTGGCTATATCTAAAAATAGAGCTATAAAACTATGCCAAAATTAAGAGACACTATGTGGAAAACTTACATGTAGGTTGTAGAATGCAGTAACTCAATCTTTTATTCTCAAGTTGTAGGCAGCCATCTTGAAATCTGCAGTCACTTTTGACTTGAGAAATCAAAATGCAAAATCTTATCTCTAATATCTTTGTAGTTTGTAGTCAAAGCACCTAACGTTGATTGACCAGATCTGATATGTATCTCACACCCATACTAGTGCCGGTATCGTGTCGACATAGGTGAGGCGCCACAAATGAAGAGTCCGCTACTTAGACTAAATTCAAGTTAAGCTGGTAGATGAGAAATTTTTTGGCTTCATGCCTCAAATCTTTTCATATGCCTTATAATGTAGCTCCATCTATATACCAATTTCTTGAAGATTTTCTCGACTATCAGTTTAGTGGAAAATGTGCTTAATGAAGTGATATCAGGTGCTTATTAAGTAGCACTGAATAAGATTATGCACTTGTAATTGTGAAACATTGCCAGATATGTTGCTCTCATTACCGCTTCTTTTGGAGCTGGTTCTGACGAGGGACAATTTCATGCAGGGATATGGAGCGTTATACTTGGTCTCTGCATTTCCAATCATCATTGGCATCTCTGTTGTGTTGATTCTCTTCTATAATTCTCTACAGTGATATAGCTTTTGGCATTTTTGCAGGGTCAGTAAGTTGTGTCAATGTACACGATTCGTCCTACAATAGTGGAACATGTATATTGCCACGGAAAATAGATACGTATGTCTGTTTTTATAGAGCTAATTGATTGAGTAAATTTTCCACTCTCCAGACTCCAATTTATTCTGCTTTTTCTTAGTGTATCTGTATTTAGCTATGTAAGTGAATCAGTTAGATTATAATCTTTCATATGCAACTGTATCTCTTCTCGTCTCTTCTAGTGTTTGGAATGGTTACATTTGACCACTCTAAATATTTTAGTTAGTTGTATAATTGTATTCAACCGTGTGATTGCACGTTCATTTTATTAAATTTCAGTTCAAAAGTCGGAGTTAAGTTGATTAAAATAGAAGCAAGTCATGCAGTTGGTGGGGTTTTTAATACTAGTTGAAATTACCAAAACCGAATATGAAGACATTCTTAAAGAATATTTTGATATTTTGTTTGTTTGAGCTGTTGGAGGGTTACATTGAACCTTTCATGGTGGTGGATTACTATGTTTGAAAAACTGCTTAGTAGATTTTTTTTATTTTTTATTTTTTATTTTGCTTAGGCATCCGGTATCGAAAATTCATTGGTCTGATTCATTCGGAGTCCTGCCGGGTAGACCTGAGTAAAGCATCCCTTTTACTCCCGTGACTCGAAAAAAACCTCTGGATAAGAGTAGAGGGATCTGAATTTCATAGTAGAACTTGTTGTCTACTTAGTTCATGGTAAGTCAAAGTACCACATAATAAATTTAATGAAATAGTGTCTTCACACATTGGAAGAGGATTGCTTAGTACAAGTTGTTGTCCACTTAGTTCATTAAGTCAAAGTATCATATAATAGATTAATGATATTGTGTTTTCACACATTGGGACAGGAAGACGTGAGAATCATAACTAAGAAATACAAAGACATGGCTTCCACATTCTTGGTTTAGCTATGCTTTGGTTCTTCCTTAAATACCTCACTCTATACTTGATACCAACCTCACTCACTTTCAGCTTCAGAATTCAGACAGATTCAGAATTCAGATATGCCTTCATTTATGGATATTCAAGTAGCAAATGAATATGATTTCCCCATCTCACTTCACACAAATGACAAACCCAAATCTTTTGATCCCATAACAATTCCTATCCCTTTTCCACCCTCAAAGAAGTTCTTAAGCAACAGTGTTCCAACTTCAGCAATCTCATCACCAAGATTTGCATCAAATTTATCCAAGAAGAAGGGGAAAAACCAACCTTCTCCTCTCTCTAACACCCCTTTGGCTAGGCAGCATTCTGTGGCACTAGCAAATCTCGAACGGCTCAAAGAAAACCACTTGCGCAGGAGCATGTCATTGGGTGTAGAAAGATCAAGATCAAGCGCGCCACCGGAAAAACATGCTTTTGGGTTGACAAAAGTCAATAGTGTTAAACATGTTGAGGAAAGCAAAGTTAGCAGAGTTCATAAGTCTAGTGGTGGTGGTGGTGAAGATAAAATGGAGTCTTGTGAGGAGAAGTTTAAATGTGGAGCTATGTGTTTGTTTATTCCTGGTATAGGAAAAGCAAAACAAGTAAAAGCCAGAAGGGAAGTAACTGGTATATGTGAGAATATGGGAGAAAATGTTTCAAGAAAAGTGTCATTGGAGAAATTTGAATGTGGATCATGGACATCATCAGCTATAATCAACTCAAGTGAAGATGAAGAAAGTGAATCCAATCTCTTCTTTGATCTACCAATGGAATTAGTCAGGTGCAGTGTGAGTGACACTCACTCCTCAGTGACTACAGCATTTGTTTTTGACAAGGAGACAAAAGGGGTCCTCAAAAACACCACAGCAAAAACAACTGATAGAAAATCCGATGAGTCAAGACGCCATGTTCGGTTTTCTACATCGTCCCCTGACTCTGACTCGCCCAAATCCTGCGTAACTCCACGCCTTCACAAGGCGAGGGAAGATTTCAATGCCTTCCTAGAAGCCCAATGTGTTTGATCGATCAATTGCGGACTCAACCACAGGTTTTGTAGTCGGCAGAATCCAGTGTTTCGAGGTCGAACCTTATATATATTTGCAAAAAACAGATAAAGGTAGAGTTAGATATGCATTTCAGAATTCACAATATTTAAATTCTGAATCCGCCATGGTCCATGACCATGACCTTAAATACACAAACTTAGATCATGTATTGTGTATGGATAAAACATTTTCCCCTTTCTTGAGAAGAGTCAAAGGAGCATCTTTCTACTTTATCATGTAGGTATATAATGAATTGCTTTATCTTCTTAAAAAGATCCTTACTATGTTTAGCTAAGTGGTGAAATGGAGAGAGAAATGATCTTTACAGCATTTGTAATATGATTCTTATTTAAGCTATCAAATCATGATGCGTTAATGGAAGACTCCAAACGAAGAGATGAATACTCAGCATTAATGAAAGAAAAACGTCTATACCGACAATTTATAAGCGAAATTCCAACCATGAAAACTACTTATCTATACCCTATCAAATCCATAAATACATGACATGTGTTTTTGCATTTATATAATTACACATTCTCACGTCAGTTTAATGACTTAATCATAATAAACTATACTTATAATTTAATGTGAACATAGAGTGTGCATTGTTTTTGCCTTCGAAATCGTACCATTGGCCCTAGGCAAAAAATGAATTTATCAACTAACTCAGAAAACTAGCAAAATCAACCAGAAATTCTTTAACATATCAGCAACAAGTCTGCAAAAATTTGGAGTCCAAAAGACAACTACATAATAGATAAGAGAAGCCGCCCATCCAAGTGAAACTAAAAATATCTGGCGGATATATGACATATATATATAGCTTATGCATAATATGTGAATAACTGTGTATAATCAGTATCTGATCTATGTATATTGGCTAGGCAAAATAAACAATAAATCTAACCGGCTATTTTTGTAAAGATTCCTTAATAAAATTTGCAAAGGTATTATTACTAGGGATGTAAAAAGAAAACCGATAAACCGCACCAAACTGATAATCCGAGTCAAACCGGAAAAAAAAAATCCGATGTGGTTTGGTTTGGTATTGAAAAATAAAACCTGGCCATAATTGGTTTGGTTTGGTTTTAACTAAAAAAAATCAAACCGAAACCAAACCAACCCGATAGTACATTTATATAATTTTTAAAAATATTTTTTACATATAAATATTTATTGTAATGTAATTTATAAATATTTCTTAAACTTTTTCACAGTTTTATCTTTCAATGTATTATTTCAAGTTTAGACTTAACATTCTTGAATGGTAAATAAATTTTAAAGCCCATAAATGTAGTAACTCAAACAAAGTTTAAATCAATACTAATGCTAATAAAAGAAATTCAATTCAATACTAGGAATGACGATAGTATTGGATAATTATTTTAGTTTCACATTGGTTTATAATGAAAATGCATAACTTAGTTTATCTTTTTCTGTAGTGCTTAGTTATGTAATTAATATTAGTACTTATTAGCTATTCTTATTTTAGCATGACCTATAAAGATAGTGTTTTTAGATTATATTAATTTTCATTGTGGCTTATTAATTAGCAATATTTATTTTATGTAATTTTATTATTTTATCTTTGTTATTGAATATTTTAGTATAATGCTATGACTTATCTCATATTATTGTGTTAGTTTCTTGGAAAATACATTATATAGTTGTATTTTACTAGGACTTAAGAGATATTTGGAGCACAAGTTACATATTTTATGCTATGAAGACTTTACCTGAAAAAAACCCGAAAAACCCGAGAAAAATCGAGATTGAAAAACCCGACTTTGTTGGTTTGGTTTAGTTTATAAATTTACAAACCCGACACCATTGGTTTGGTTTGATAATTGAAAAATCCGAACCAACCCGACCTATGTACACCCATAATTATTACCATAATGGTTAAAGAAAGGAAAAATTACATGGTATAACTAACTTATACACTGTATCAACTAGACATAAATACACATTGAAATTATTACAAGTCGTAGCTACTCTTTGTATTTTATAGCAAAATCTCAATGGTAAATCCAGCGTATACAGTGTATGGAGTCACATACAGTGTGATAGAGTAACTGCATATTTTAGTGCAGTATATGAGTTGATACAACAATTTAGAGCGAATGGATATAAATGATACAAGCTGATAATAATCGAACAATAACTACGAATGATAATTAGGTAAATTGTAGTTACATGTGGGCCGAGTCAATGCCTCAAATAGCCCAACCTACTCGCGCCCAATGCCTCCCAAAAGGGGTTATATATATATATATATATATATATTGAGATGTGATTTCACCATATTCCTATGAGCTAAAAATCGCCGCCTATTGGTACATTGTCTTCACTCTTCAGGCAGGTTTTACCTCCTCTAATTTTCCTCTATTTTTCAACTTTGGGATGCTGCTACCCTACTTAACATGTAAGTAATCGTTCTTTCTTCCTCTCACTACAAGAAATTTGGCTTTTAGCGAAGGGAAATTCGGTCGTTCAAAGTTAAAAACGACCGGAAAAAATTCGGTCGTCACCGGTCATTAAAAGCCTTGACGTTAAAAGTTAACGACCGGATTGAGATCCGGTCGTTGAAGATTCTTTAACGACGACATAAATTCCGGTCGTTATACGTGCTTTATAGCGACAGGATTTTCCTGTCGCTGCTTAATCATCCCGTCATTAGAAGTGTTAATGCCGAACAAGTAATTCTGCCAATGCAAGTGCCTTTGACGACCAAAACTCCCTTCGCTAATTGTGTGCCACTTTCAACAAAAATACTTTTAAAGGGCCAAATTTTTCTTCGCTAATGTGGAATATATAATTACAAAAAATTAATATATTACCAAATAGCAATACTTAATTATTTCATATGATTTTACAATCATAGACACATTCGAAAGTAAATCAAATAATCAATATTCATGAAAACTTCATTGTTAATACAATGAACTAAAGCATCACACTACCAGAAAATATACCTATTCACATTGCTTGGCATCATTTTTATCAACTCCTAAAAAGAGAACAGAATGTAGAATATGTACATAAACTATTGTGTTTAAATCACCCCTAGCAAAACAAAAACTTCTTGTTCTTCAAACTGCTTGGTACTTTCTTCAAGGATAGGATCTCCAAACTTTCAAATCCTTGATCTGATTAAAGAACAAGTTTCTGTTAGTATAGCAACAAAGAAAAAATCATTAAAGAAGAAAGAGGAGACCGCAATATATTTAGTGCGCAATCATACAAAAGATGCAATGAATATCTAATAAAGGACGCGAGCAATAACTTACTTCTACCAAATAGTCCAACAATGCCAGAAGATTTCCAAAATTAAAGATAGAGAAATCCATCCAGTCTTATTTGTGTTATTGTTGAATATCAATAATCGAAAAATTCCATCAAATAAACAAAAAAATACCAGAATATATTAAAGAATTCTAGTGACTAGAACTCACAAAGTGTATTCAAGAATATAAATTTTTCAAATCGTCCTTTCGTTACCAACACTTTAAGAGGGAATCTGAAATCATCGTTCAAAATCGCATTGGCTAAAATATAAATAATATCTTTTTATAAGCATATATATTGAAAATCTGAAGCACAAATGCTTAGTAAAACTTTCATCAGATAAAGCTAATCTTTTATTTTTACAATGCTTTTCAATATGTCATAGGTCAACCTATATTCATGTCACCTATTTATTTATTCCTGATAAGTAAAAAAAGAATTATCTATGTTAGATATATATTATATCACTTCCACCATGAAGGACATAATGCTACAACAAGAGTTCTATACTAGCATATATCAGTTGATAGATTTTGTTAGCTATTTGTGTTAAGGATAGACTTGGTTTTTATGGCCAGTTTGTATGCGTGCATTCATGCACCTTCTTGGTGCTTTATCAATTTTAAATCCATGCTTTTTCAAAAAAAGGTCTATATATGCATACAGACATTAAAAATTTCTCACCTTATGAATACATATATATTCTATTTTAGAAACTGCAATAATTATAAGTTATAACTCCTTAACAAAAATTACTTATAGCTATAGTTAGGGTAGAACATTAAGAATTGCAACAGTTTACATAGAAGACGAACAAAAAAATATGAATATTTATGATGCTATAGACCTATTATAATTGAACCATAGGATAATAGGAAATAGTTACCCAGATACGTTCAATGCGAGTCAATATTCAATATTACATATTATTATTCAATCATGCTACACACTTCGCTACAAGATTTTCTATTTAACTGAAAAATTCTGGATAACCTATAAAGAAAGATAAAAGTGGGAAGTCATTCACAATTTCTACAGACAGTGAAAGAGTTGTATATGATAGGAGGATGAAAAAAGGGACTTCAAAATAAATATTGGCAATCTCCCCAATCCCAACTGAAAGCAATAAGAAAAAATAAAAATGCAAAGGAGACACTAATCTTCTCAATTTGGGGTTTAGGGGGGGGGGGGGGGGGGGTGGGGGGTACGGAAGACGTAAAAATAAGTGACGTAGGTAAGGAAAGTAAAGTTAGGAAGGTAAAGA